CACACACACACACACACACACACACACACGCACACACACACACACACACACACACACTCCTCTCTTTCGCTTGGAACAATACCTACACTAATGAAGAATGAGCACCTGTGGCGGCTGGAGTGGCATGGGGCGAATCACTGCCAAGCTCGGAGATTGTCATGGGCATCATGGAGACGGTGCTAAACTTTTTTTCTTTTCTTTTTTCCCAAAAACTTGCAACTGACTGGTTACGTCGTCTTTTTCGTTTTCTTTTTTCAATAGACGTTGAGGATGGAGAGAGCAACCCACACTGCAGTCCCACTTATTCTATGCCAGGGAATCGCGGGGATCGTTCGTCAACGCAAGGGGGTGAAGACAGGTGTTTCTCGGTGTGGCTTTTGACTTTCATGTGGAGAGAGAGAGAGAGAGAGAGAGAGAGAGAGGGAGAGAGAGCAAAGCTGACGATTGTTGTTCGTGATTGGTCAGCTGTGGAGAACGACATGTTGCTGTGCTTGATGTGTTTGCCGGAGGTAGTGAGATCTGCCTGAGGGAGTAACCTCGGGCTCTGGCATTCGCGCCAGGGGTTGGGGCTAGCTCGAAGCTAAGCTTGATGCCTTCCATAGTGGAATTGAGAATTTGACAGGGAAGAGAGAGCGGCCTAAAGGCAGAGGAGAGAGTAGAGTGGGGGTGAGGGGTGCGCATAGCGCAAGCCTTAGGTGGCAAGGCAAACCTCCACACTCAGTCCACACTATTCCCGTCTTGGCCAGGGCTCGGTGAACATGTCTTCATTATCTTGACATGGTGTGTGCCGTGTAGTACGCCGTGTAACCTATCAGACTACCAGTATCAGTCCATTGTTGACATCAGTTCAATTTTGCCAGGGATGGGTGGTAGTTGAGGGCCCTTGAGAGCCCTTGAGGCCCTTGAGGGCCCTTGAGGGCGACAGTGTTGCTGGGGACAAGAAAATACTAAAATAGTAAAATAGACAGTTTTGGTCAAACGCGAGTTTTCGAATTTGTTACACTCTCGAGGCTCGAGTTTTCAGTATTTTCGAGTTTTTTCTGACACAAATCAACTTTATGCAATTTAATTCCTTGATCCCCTTGATCCCCATCATCCCCTTTATCCCCTTTATCCCCTCGATTCCCTTGATTCCCTTGATTCCCTTGATTCCCTTTGATTCCTTTGATGAGTAATATTGCGACTGCCAATGCAGCGATGCAGCGATGCAGCGATGCAGAGGTGTTCAGCATTTGACAGCGGCCTTGGTATGTCAGTAACGTCACAGTACGTGTGCATAAATATCTGTTAAGTAATGTTCTCAGACTGGTAGAAGAAAAACAAATAACGGCAGACAATGGTCACCATTGCCCACCAATGCCCACCATTGCCCACGAATGCCCACCATGCTCTCGGAGATGGAAAAAGAGTAAAAAAAAAACAAAAAAAAAAACGGAAAAAGAAGAATAGTGACTTCGGTCCTGCATAATTGCGCAATTTTGCGAGAGGGAATGAAGTACAATGAACCGATCTGGAAGTTAGTGTATGAACTTGGGTGCTGTGCTGCGTTGGCGTTGAATGAGTACTTTTTTCGCTGGTGGGCACTTGTTTCAAGTTGTTTGTTAATCTCTCGAAGCTCGGCTATGACAGCCTTCATTGCAGTAACAACCATTTCGTCAAAATGGACATTTTTTATTTTTTTAACGAAATTGAAACCGAGTTTTTTGGCCGAAAACTCGTCAAAATTTGTTGTTCCTGAGGGTCCAGCGTTTGTAACCCCCTGGCTGTACATGGACCTAGCTTGAGAACAGGCACCTCCAGGCAGGACTGCAGTGTTGACTACTTGTCGACATTGTCGAGGAGTTGTGTTGTGCATGTTTGTGCTTGACTAGGCTTACCATCTCTCTCTCTCTCTCTCTCTCTCTCTCTCTCTCTCTCTCTCTCTCTCTCTCTCTCTCTCTCTCTCTATCTATCTATCTATCTATCTATCTATCTATCTCTGTGAGTCTGTGTGCACTCTCGAAGATGGTTAAAAAAAGAAAAAAAGGAAAACAAAAAGGAATAGTGAAAACACCCACAAGCAATGGCCACCATGCTCTCGAAGACGGTCAAAAGAATACAGCAACAACCAAGCGGCCTAACTCAGTTGGTACACCCATGAAATGTTGAAACACTGACCTGAGTTCGAGTCCAGAGATTGAACTAGATGAAGAAAAAAACTCCCGAATTACGTGAGTCACTTTTACAACAATATCTCAATTACGTAACCCCCGACTTTCTTGGTCGGTGGTTACCGCCAGGCTCCCGCTTGTCTACCAGCTTTTTCTGCTGGCTTTCAACAAATTTTCCCTGATCACCTCCAGGATTTCAGCTTTGCCTTGGTTTTAGCCAAATGCTGCATCTTGCCGCTCTGTCGCGCCCCTCATCCTCCAGACAACCATGCGGAGACTCCAGAGAGCAAGCCTCATTTGTTTAAAGGGGTTAGATCCGAAGGGTGTCCACTGTCCACTGTCCAGGTGGCAGGGAAGCTTCTCCTCTTTCCCAGCAGGACGAGGGCGACATTCCAGTGAAAAGGTGAAGCAGTGAGCTCGTGCCACATCGCGTCCCACCATTGCCACACCTGCACTGCCATGGGGCATGCTAACAGGCAGTGTTCCAAGTCGGCCCGTGGAGGCTCAGCCTCATCTCGGAGTCCGCATTGGGAACATATGGGGGACAGGATACCTGCTTGTTCCAAGTTTAACTTAGTCCGGTGTTGGGAGACACCGGTGTATTATCTGCCACTGCAGCGCCGTGTGCGAAGTTGGCATTATGTGGGCGAACGTGGACTCTTCCATTGACAATGTCTGTTGTACTAGCTTTTGTACGTCGAGCTTTGTGTCAAGAGATCGTAATGGTAGTGATAGTAGTAGAAAACTTTGCTGGATTCGGGATTTGCAATGGGATTTGGATGGGACCACACAGCAGGGGATGGGTCTGGCAGAGAGTGCCATGCTCAGCCCGGATTGCTATAATCGTGCAAATGTGAGGGATGTGCAATGAACCCAGATCGTGAAGACACTTGTCAACAATGCAAGCCTAGATAGATATCAACCTGCTGATGATTATCAATAATCATAATCGCGTCCAGGTAGAATGAGATGGGAAAATCATACACTTAATTAAAAAAAAAAAAAAAAAAAAAAATCATACACAGACGAAGGAGAGAGGAGGGGGATTAGACTTAGAAAAAGAATAAAAGACAATGCCCACTTCTGCTTCGGGCTCCCTCCTCGATCACCACCTCAATAATCGAGAATCTGGACGCGCATCTGAAGTTCTATCGGACTATCACAATGTGCCACGTGGCACACCAATCAGTCCTCATCAGCGAGATGGAGCAGTGTCGACATCAAGATAACCAGGTACGTATCCACTATCGCCCCACAGTCATGATCTCCTCCCGAATGTCGTCGAAACAAAACAACAATACCAATCGCGTA